CAATAACGATAATTCGTTTGAAGTAAAATCTGCTGAAGCTTCGAACTCGGGCTCAAGTCCAAGCTGCTCTACAATATCAATCTGCGAGATTTTCTTTTTCTTCATGTGCACAGACGCAAGTAGCTGTCGAATATCCGATGAAGAGGTCCTTTTGCTCAGCATGGATGCCTCCATTACGACTGTTGAAATTGACATCAGGTTGTACAAACGTTCCAACTGATGATTGACTCCAGCGAAGCACTACCAGGTCGCAAGCGCTCTTGAATACTAGTTTGAGAAGGTTGATGCGTTAACAACTTGTACAAGTACTTTGTCTGGGATAAATCCGGCAGCACACCACGGCAATAAACAATCGTTTGGCTCACCGTAATGAAATCAAACTCTGCAAATGGTGGGTTGCGCTTATACTTTGCTCCGGTTTTCAGGTCATGCTGCAAAAACTCAAATACGATTAGAGAGAAAGGTTAACACATTATCAACAAAAATAACAAAACTAATCTTCAGGAAAATGTCGATGATACGCATGCCTACTTCAATCGACACCATCCGACCGAGCAACTTGCTCAACTTGGAGTGAACTGTTTCTAATTGACTGGTGAGAGTACTCGAATGCGCTTTCCACTCTCCAGATACTCGTTTTCTTTAACGTACAGATCACCCATCAGTATCTGAGCGATGTTGACGGCAATGCATTTCCCTTGTTGTAGCATCAACACGTACACTGGATAGTTTTACATCGCGTAATACAGATAGACAATCGGAAGCCATTGCTTCTGGACTTCGAATGTTTCCCGCTACGTCATACAGCGCCGAGGACAGCTTTTGAGTCAACGCCTTGCGTTCAGGTTTATCTATCAGCTTTTCGGCAATCACTGTATTACGTGAAAAGGATCTTGCATTGTTTTGACATTTGCTCCAAACACTTTAGCCACCATTCCGCGGGTCTCGTTAGCATCGTCACACACACAGACTGGAGCAGGAGTTGTCTGCTTGTCTAGTAGCGGCACAACCAAACGAAGAATAGTTGCTGACTCGTCTTGGTTTTCAGATCGTGCCAGCCCTCGAGCTACAATTTGACCAACTTCATTTTGTACTAAGAGAAGCATCGACACACTAGATAACTGATCTTTTTTGCCACCAGAACCAAAATATTTCAGTTTACTGCAAAATTTCTGGGCATGATTACGAATAAGTCGTTTGTACTTCGCATGAGCAATTTGAGCTGCCAACAATCTGGACCAGAGTTTGGCCTGCTCTTACCAGATCTTCTGAATGGTTTCTTCGTTAGTACATGAGTTGCGATATAGATGGTCTTCAATGGTAGGCGGTCGAGGAGGTGAAAACTGGGATCTTGCGGTTTTTTTTTAGTATCTGTAGTCACAGCAACTAGAGCTTTATCGTAGTAGTATCGCTTCTGACGACACCTCGTAACGTTGCTGATAGCCCCAGATATCCCTTCGTGGTCAACATACTGTCGTATACGATATTAATAATTTCCTTGTAGATACCGCTCTTGTTTGTCAGCAGGTAAGGAAACGCAAGGAGCGTTGCTTTGGTCGACGTAATGTATTTGTCATCGATCGTAGAGAACGTGATTCCCTTTGACAGACCTGCACACGCATCCCGAGCAAAGTGACGTACTGTCTTGTGCTCAACGTCAAAACAGTGTGTATACTCTTTCACGGATGGGGTGCACGCGCAACCCTGTACTATACAGGATGCCTTCCGCGTATCCGACAAGCACTCCAGAGCCCACGTGAACGTTGGATATGAGAACCATGCTGATAGTGAATCCCCTTTCTGCGTCTCTGGAAGCTC